GTTTTCCTTGGGTTTTTCAATACACACGATTTTCAAAACGTACACAATTTTGATGAACATTTTTCTTACAACTATAGAAACAAACAAGCATACCTATGGATCTTCACAAATGTTTTCAAAAGCTCTTTTCAGAAAATATCGGATTTTCTGGTGGTTTTCAAAACGATACAAAACATTGTTTTTCAAATACCGCTTATGAACTCACCAACATTTCATATGTTGACGTTTTTCAAAATACTTGTATTCTCAGGTAACAGATAAAGTGAAGGAAGAATTGTACTCAATGATGTTTTGATGTGTGTTAATTAGTATCAAACAATCTACTTTTGAGAATGTAATGTTTTGAGACAATGTAATGGATGTAAACACTAGCAATTGTAATATTCAAATGTTGGTGACGAATGATGTTATGTTTCATGTATATTCATTGTGATGGTATTCAATTGAGTCACAACAACTCCCGGACATTTCCGCCGTCTGGTTCGGGGGTGTGACACAGAGGCTCAAACACACCATTGGTGCCACCACTAGAATATCCCGAGTCTGCAATTCACAAGAAAAAGATGCCCTTGCAAGAATTGAAGTCACCCTTCTCTAGGAAGGCGGGAAAGAAGACAGGAGAGTCAAGTTCATCAACGAAGCACGAGAGAAATCTTGAGCATTTGGATCATACACCCGTGCAAACCGAGTACGAAAGCGACACCGAGCCAGAATTTGAAGAACACACGAGTGAACCCGAGAACGAGCCAAGGAACGAGATGGCAGATATTGAAGAAATGTCCATGGGAGCTTACAAGAAGCGGATCCGAGAAGATGTGGGTCCCGGATTAGTCCAACCCGCAATACCTGCCAATGCCACATTCGAGCTGAAGGGAAACATATTGACTGCACTGAAGGACATCCCATTTTTCGGGAAAGACCATGAGGATGCTTTTAAGCATCTAGATGAAGTCAATGACATTGCAGATTACTTCAATGTCCCAAATGTCAACAGGAACACAGTCTTGCTTAGGATGTTGCCCGTCACTTTCAAAGGAGCTGCTAAGGAGTGGTTAAAAGCACTCCCACCGGGTACAATCACCACTTGGGCTCAAATGCGTGAGCAATTCCTAGACCAGTTTTGCCCACCATCCAAGATAGCCAAACTCAAGAAGGCAATAGCCAACTTTGAGCAACAGTCGGGGGAGTCACTATACGAAGCATGGGAGCGGTACAAGGGCTTACTTAGAAATTGCCCACAACATGACCTAAATGTGCAGCAAGAGATGTCAATATTTTATGATGGGGTCAACGTGATGACGAGACAACTCCTTGATTCTCAAGGACCGTTGACAAGGAAAAATCCAAGGGAGGTCAAGGAGCTAATTGAAGAATTCGCGAAACACTCCCGCGAATACCATAACCCGAGGCAGGATGGAAGCAAAGGCGGAGGAGGAGCCCAAACTGAAGAAATTGCAGCTGTCATGGCCATGCTGAATAACATGGATCGCAGGATAACACAAATGGACCAGTCGATACACGCCATAAGAGTGGGGTGCGAGCGATGAAATGGTCCACACTTGACTAAGGACTGCAACGTGGATGAATTTGGGAACAGAAAAGCTCAAGTGTGCTACTCTAATGGGGATAAGTTTAAAGAGGACTGGAGGAAACCGAAGAAGGAGTGGCTGCCATATGAAGAATATAAGAAGCAAAAAGAAGAAAAGTATAGGCAGACAGGTCGAGGCCTCTATCAAAAGGAGCAGCCACCAGGCAAGAAGAAACCCGACCTAGAGACCATTTTAATGAAATTTATGGAAGCATCGGAAAAGCGACACGAGGCCACGGATTCTGCTATTATGGAACAACAAACTTTGATAAAGAATCAGCAAGCCTCCATCCATAACCTTGAAGTACAATTTGGTCAACTAGCAACTTAAGTTCATGAAAAAGTGTCCCCAAAGAGTCCCCAAGTACAGAACCAATCTCATGTAATGGCCATAGACACCGAAGAAGAAGCTATCTCGAAGTTCCTGGAAGCATTGGACGAAGAACCACGAACGCCCGATCAAAAGAAGAAGAAGATCAAGATCGAAAATCATTTAGCTGCTGAGTTCCAGAAATCACGACGTGAACCTTATATATTCACGACGTGGGCCCGTCATGAACAGAAAAATTCTGTAGACAGTTCGGTTTATGAGCCGAATTTGCCTTTTCCTTCCCAAGCCACCCTTAGTCCACTGGAGAGAGAGCATAGAGAGTTTGTCAAGCATGTGAAGGGGATCCCGATTAATACCCCCTTTGTCGAGTCCTTATCCAAAGCTCCCGAGAACCAGAAATTACTGCAAGACTTGATAGACACTCGAAGGCAATTAAAGAAGTAGTCTACAGTGATTTTAAGTGAACAAACTTCAAAAGTTGTGTTAGGAGAGACACCAGAAAAGATGGGGGATCCTGGACGCCTCACTCTTCCATGCGAGTTTGGGAATAAAATGAAGGTTAATGCTTTAGCTGATTCTGGGGCTAGCATTAATCTAATGCCTTTTTCATTTTATCAAAAATTGGAGATTCAGAAGATGAAGGCTACAAAAATGAAGATTCACATGGCGAACCGTTCGGTGACACAACCCCGAGGCATAGTGGAGGATATTTTGGTGAGAATTGGAAATTTTATTTTTCCAATAGACTTTGTAGTCTTGGACATGAAAGAAGATCCAGATGTTCCGATAATCCTAGGTCGGCCATTGCTCAACACTGCTAGGTGCCCTTGTCGATATCCGCGAGTCGAAGCTAACTTTGAGGGTTGGAGATGAACAAGAAGTCTTTGGGATAAAGGATGACATTTCAAGAAAATAAAGAAGAGGTGTTCACAATTAATGAAGAGAATGAACTAGAAGAACTGGAAAAGCTTATGGAAGAAGAGATAAAAGTAGTTCATCAAGTCAAAATGACAAAACCAAAGGCATCTGTTCCATATTGGATTGAAGTCATAGCTTACAAGAGCCCGCCTTCTTGGGTAAGCAAAGAGGATGAGGAAATAACAAGTGATGAAGAGGAGGTCACTTCAAGAGTACAAGGCCGGTGGTAAAGCAAAGAGAATGACATAAAGTACGAGGAGGAAACCAAGGGCACAAAACGCAAGCTTGAAGAAAAGGGAAAAGCTAAAAAGGAGAATTCAAAGAAGGCGTATAAAAGGAGAGTTGAAGCTTACAAAAGGCGATTCAAGGAGCAAAAGATCTTGGTGGAGGACTCTTCCTAAGACTCAACGTTGGAGGCACGGAGTCCAGCTCAAGACTCCAAGAAAAAGAAGCGCTTCTCGGGAGGCAACCCGAGTTTGGTTTAAAATTTTTTCTCTTTCTTTTTGCATTTTAGTTTTGAAAACTTAGATCGAGTCATCTAACTCTATTAGAACAAAATGTGGGGACCTTAAAACGGAGGTAGTAGTAATTAAGAACTTAGTTCAAACTCAAAAAAATTTAATTATCCAGACTTAATTCACGACGTGAATAGTTAGCCATTCACGATGTGAATTGTGAATAAACCGGACACATAATCCATGATAAGGCTTAACCCATTAGACTAGCAAGCCCAAGACCAGTCCGTGAGTACATGGCCCAAACTTAAGCCCAACCACTACTCACGACGTGAATTGTATATAATTCATGACGTGAACTTTTACAAGTACGGGACCACATATTAAGTCCCTGGAAACCAGCAAACCCTCTCATTTGTTTATTGTTCACGAAGTGGAAACAAAAATTGGTCCCCCTTAGTCCCCATTGCTGCGAAATTAGCCGACAATCCTATTAATTGCCATTGTGCTTACGTAATACTTCCAACAAAGGTACTAATTCTTGATTATTACGTTTAATTTTTGGTTCTAGTAGAGGAACTTAGGGTTAGGGTTTGTTAAATGATGAAATTAATTCTTTACAGTTCGTAAAAAACCTTGGAATGTTCATGTTAAGTGTTTGGAAGTGGTATAGGAGTAAAACCCAGGGATATGTTGACTGGATCTTCCCCGATTGTGAAGATTCTGCCTCCTGTGGTTACGAACTCACGACGTGAATCATACAAGATTCACGACGTGAATTTTGGTGCTAATCAGAATTCATTTTTCTATGTTTGACTTGTGGATATTTGTTTTGGCTGTTTCTTTTTCGTGTTTTTGCAGGAATGGCTCCAAGAAGAGAGGCTCCAGCTGGGGTTGCGGGTTTACACCCGTTTTACAATTTTCCTGCGACGACGGCCCGTGATGTTTTGACCCGTTGGAACAACAGATTAGGATGGATTTATAACAGGGAAATTGCAGTTGCTCCAACAGTCAATTGGACAAGATTGAGGGAAGTAGGGCTCGTAGACCGGGTGGGCCCGTACTTGCAAAAGACATTTATTAGAGATGGCTATTCGTTCACCTGTTCTGGTTGGCAAAATCTGTTCCGGGTGCAAGATCGGGTCTAGAAGGAATTTTGTGTCGAGTTCTTCACAACGGTGACGTTTCAAGAAACGGTCCAAGATCCACATTGGCCACATGCGTTGGTATTTCGATTGGGGGCGAGTACCGGGAGTGCAGCCTAGTTGAGTTTGCTTGGAGAGTGGGACTGTATGATCGACAGGAGGCTGTGACTCCCGAGTTTGGCATGTTTTTAGGAGAGGCTGCTAGAGGATATATGGAGGGTGTCACAGGATATTCTTTTTGGCATAACATTGCCTCTGGGATGTTTAATTCCGGAGTATCTCCTGAGAGTAGTATTCGGTCCCCGATCCATCGTTTACTCCACCGGTTCATTACCTTTTCCATCAACCATAAGAGGCATGGAGACAAAGTGACTAAGCAGAACTTATTTTTCTTATGGTGCATCTTACAGCCTGGTGTCTGTTGTAACATCCCGTATTTCCTAGCCCGTTTTCTGGCTGGGTCTGCTGCGAATTCGCGCCCTGGGAGCCCTATTTGTGGGGGTCATTTTGTTACTCGTTTGGCCCGTTCTTATCATCTGATTGTTCCCGATATTATTAGATCCATGACGTGTGTAGACGAACATGACTTTGGTATGGGATATTTGGAGACTATGCGAGTGGTTAGAAATTTTGGATCACACTGGGGAATAGTTCCATCAGACGCTGAGGGTGAAGATGAGGATGATCAGCCAGCCGATCAACCTGCGCCAGAGCCAAGACCGAGACGCAGGAACGTAAGAGGAAGGGGAGACCGCGGGCAGCCGACACACCCAACTGCTTCCATGGTGGGTGCACCTTTTGGGGGTGATATGGCTGGTTACTTTGACCAGTTATCGTTGAGTGTGAATTGGATAGGCGGCACGATGGAAAATGTGGTTCAACATCCTGGGGTGGAGCAGCCGTCTCATTTAGGGTATCATTACCCGATTTGCCCACGTTGGTCGGAGTATGGTGGTCGTGGAGGTGATGGAGCTGGTACCAGTGGAGCGCATGAAAATGAGGCGGATGATTGATCGTTATTTATTTTGTTAGATTTGTGTTTAGTTTCTTTTAGTTTATTTTAGTTTGTTTTTAGTTTGTTTTTATGGGATTGTAAGAACTACTTTGAATATTATGTTACTCTTCGTTGTTGATTGTTTCTCAGAAATTGCTATGGAGTGCTTAGGCAGGATAGCGAGTTATGAATGCGTACGTTTTTAGCTGGGAGTGTTTAATTCCGAGAGTCGAGACCCATATTTTCAAAATACGTTTGGGGTGAGTTAATGAAGTGGAGTGTCCGCGCATGAGTTATCAACTGATGACTTTGGAAGAGTCTTAATACATTAAGACATTAGAAGAAGGATTGAGCAATGTTTTCTACTTGTCCAGTTCTCACGACGTGAACATTTCTAATTCATGTCGTGAGTCAGTTATCAGGAGGTTGTCAGGATATGTTCAGTTCGATTTCACGTCGTGAATTATTACACGCTCACGTCGTGAATCTTACATGTTTCCCCACATTGGTCATTCTACTTTTGGAGACTTACACCATGTTAAAAGATGATTGAAGGCCCAATTTCATGTTTTGCGGGTACACTCCTTATTTCGCGAGTTCCAAAATCAAGTTTCTATTTTTGGAAGTCCATATTCAAATTGCACATTTTCCGCACTTTTCGAGATGCTCACGCCGCTATTCCAGGGGAGTTTGTTCCTTTATCTCCCTTTTCTTTAATTTTGATTTGTTTTTATACATGCAATGAGGGCATTGTATGAAATAAGTGTGGGGTAGGGGTAGAAAAAGTAAATTGCTAGGAAATTTTGAAAATTCAAATTTTTATTAATTGAATCTAGTAATAATAATTTGAGCTATAATTGCTAGTATTATGCGGGATGATCTGATGAAAGTTCAAATGTTTAGTTGAGCCAATATACATTATAGTGCATTTGTGGCTTCCCTTATTTTAGTGAAATCATGGAACAAAAACATACCCCCGCTCGGTTTGAAGGATGCAATATGTTTAGCAGCCTAAACCTGAAATGTATCCAGGGAAATTATTATCATTAACCAATAAAGGTTAAAGTTGAGCGCCCCTGCTTAAGCATGTTGGGTTTTGAGTGGAAAAAAAAAGAACGAGATACATGTTAAAAAAAAGAGAGAGAATTACAAGAAAAAGTTTGAAGAATTTTTGGAGCATCAAAGTTAAAGTATGAAATTAGAAGATCAAAAATTCTGAAGAAGGTCAAAAAGTTGAAGATACCAAGAAATCAAATCAAATAAGGAGGTGAATTCAAAGAAATCAAAGATCGGCTTGTTAAGAAAGTGAAGAATTCCAAAGAGCTCCATACTGGTATCATAAATTGTAATTTTCTAGATTATGTATGCTTGGGTTGCTCAACCAAAAATACCTTGAGGTTAAGAGGTTTTCTGGGGATGGATTCGGAGGGTTGCATAAAATGAGCATTGTTCGGAAAAAGTGGGCAAGTGTTTATGAAGATTGTGAGTATTTAAAGTATGGGGGTACTTTAGGAAAATTTTCGACACA